TTGTACTGTTGACGTTCTAGCAGGTACTTTGGAATTTAATAATATTGGATAAAATGTCTTCCCCAAACAAGAGGCGAGAAATGGATGTAATGAAGTTGTAAGTTTCTCTTGCATGTTTACATCTCGGTGCTTAGCATTGTCTTTGGTTTAAATTATTCGATTTCCTTATCTTTTCATGTTTTTGAGGACAGTCTGCAATTGTTTTGCATCAATGAGATAATGTCGTTCCGTCAAGGTGTTTTTGGGCACCATTCTTTTCAATTACGTTAGGAGGGGCTAGGGGTTTTGTCAAGGTGCCCTTGAGGAACCAAACCAGTTGACTTAATAAAATAAACAAGTGACTTGAGATGTTTCGAACCATATGGCTAACAGGGTATTACCATGACTAGATGTTTAAAGCAAAGATGGTAACACCAATTGAATTTTTGAAACATTTATTATCTGAGGAATGGACTGTGTATGTAATAGGTTAATACTGGCAGACTGCAGAATTTCGTAATTTGTGTATATCCAATTTTACAGTCTTATGAACTCATTAATCTTGTTGTTTTTAAGTTGTGGGTCTGTGTTAAAGTCCTTGGCAGTTGCGGCTACTATTAAAAGGAAAAGAGGGTATTGATTATGTTTGAAGATTACCGTGAGTAAGTTTGCAGACTACGTGACAACTGTTTATTACTTTTGCACTTTTTTTTGAAGTTAAGAGCAACAAGTCGATAGATTGTTTGTTACCCCCTACTTCTGAGGGAGACTGCAACTGTTACTTTGCAGTTAATCTGTAGATAGCTTTAATGTGATTTTATCTGAAAACTTTAGGACACGAGATTCTATGAGATGTGAGATTCCCTCATTTGAAGTAGGGAACCTTAAGTAAAGTGATTATGAGGCAATTGTTATTATTCGTTAACTACACTTGTTATTCTACTGTGCGTGATCATTAACGAACAGAGAGATCTGTTTCTGATTTAGTAATTGTTTCTGAAAATTTTGGAGTTTTAGTCTGAGTTGCTAATGAGTTTTCTATCTCTTTGCTAATGCTTACGTAATTTTATCCAGGATGATGAGTGACTATAATGTGGAAACAATAAACGATGGACTCAATGAATTCAATGTTGAATTTCATGGTCCCAAAGGAAGTACGTTTATACTAATCTATTCGATGTAGGTTCTCCGGTTATGCTTTTGACATGATTCGTTTTGACAATATTTGAATGTTCTGGTAGCTACTGCCCAGCAGCACTAGTCTCCCAGTAGTCAGTTGACTTCTGTAGGGACTGTTCCATAGCGTTATGCATGCTCTTATCAGTTTGGGAATAGATTGTTAAATTGATTAAATTATTATACGATAAGAGGCAAGCCTCTTTCGCACACCTATACACGACTCTCTCCCCCACTTTTCCTTTTACATGGAATGAATTTGATTTCGAAAGCGTTATTGTACTTGGAGAGTTTTCTTTTATTGTCAGGTCTAACCTGTAACCATTTTTTCCTTTCGAGCCTATGTTATGTATTCAGTTTCTTGAAAGTTATTCCATATATTTGGAGGGTCCTTGAAAGACCATATCCCCATATTCATGTCTAGATATGCATGTGTCATGTCGTTTTCGAGCAATACAGTTTGTGGAAGTTCTCGTTCCGTTCTTTAATATCCTTAACGTCTTCAACTGCAATGCTTATAGGTGTGTATGAAGGCGGAGTTTGGAAAATCCGGGTTGAGCTTCCGGATGCTTATCCATACAAGTCTCCTTCTATTAGATTCGTGAATAAGATATTTCACCCAAATGTTAATGAAACGTGAGCAATTTTTTAATTTTCAACTTGCTTCTTACAGACTGCAATATTTCACCCTAATGGTGATGAAACTATTTACGATCCTCATTCATATTGATTTTTAATATACAACAATTCTGGTAACGATTCGTCTTTTTGATTTCTTCATGATAGTTGTTCAAAGTTCTTACAAAACTCGAATTTCTCTATATTGGTTTAATTTCAGGTCCGGTTGACGTCTATGGTTTATACTAGTAAACGACATTCCGCATTATTCATCTTCTTGATTGATGAATGCCCATATGCGATGTTCTCTTGTTCTTGCAGATCTTTCGAACATCTTTGAAGTTTTTCTTCCACAGCTCTTGCTATATCCAAACCCTTCACACCCCCTAAACAGGAACGCTGGATCATTGATGATGAAGGATCGGAAACAATATGATCAAAAAGTAAAAGGTAAATATGGTTGTACTGTACGGTTACGCTTTCTTAGCATAAGACATTCGTCCTGGCGATGTTCGTAAGACGGCGACTGATCACTGATGTTATCTTTTTTCTTTACGGAAAGCAGAATTCTGCGAGCGTTATGCAAAGAAAGAGAACATCACGAAAGGGAAAGCCGATGAGGAGACGGACGACGACGAAGATGTAAGCGATGAAGAAACCGGGTCTAGCGACGATGAAATCGCCGGACATGCTGATCCTTAAAATACCTTGGTGGTGATAAGGTGAAGTTTCAGAGTACTAGTTTGTATTTTATTTCCCAGTACAAAATGTACCTAAAAACAAACCACTTAGGATTTCATTTAGCCTTGTGTTGGAATCTTAAATATGGAGTGAATGGAAGATCCCTGTGTTGGATGAAACTTGCAATAATTTTGGCTGAGAATTTCTAATTTGTTTTTATTCTTGGATTTATTATATGGATGAAAAAAGTACACGTAAGATTAATTCTTTGGTAAATTACTTGCATGGTCCGTTTTGGTCTTCTAATTATTAATTTTTTTTTAAAGTTATACTTAACATTAAGTTTTGGTTTTATTTTGATCACCTGTTATTAAAAAGTTGATTGTATTGTTGACGTGATATTTTTCTAATGATGATGTGACATTGTTTTATGGTAACAAGTAGGGATGGGCACGGGGCGAGACGGGCCAATATTTTGGCCGCCCCGACCCCGACCCGAAAATATATTGTCTATATTCGGTCCCGACTTGCCTCGATAGTTATTAAAAAGTTGATTGTATTGTTGACGTGATATTTTTCTAATGATGATGTGACATTGTTTTATGGTAACACGTAGGAATGGGCACGGGGAGAGACGGGCTGATATTTTGGCCGCCCCGACCCCGACCCGAAAATATATTGTCTATATTCGGTCCCGACTTGCCTCGATAGTTTTTCGCTTTTATAATTAATATTTTAGAGTAAAATAATTATTAGAGTAAAATCTTTACCCAACCCGACATGAATATATCAATATTTTAAAAAAATTAATATTTATAATTATTTATTATTTTTAAATTATTAAAATAATATATTTTGTAATAATTTATTATCATTTTAATAATTAAAAAACATATTTTAACATTATAAAAATAAAAATAAAAATATTAAATATATATATATATATATATATATATAACCGGATCGGGTCGGTGATTTTTCACCTTAAACTGGCCCTGGCTCGCCTCGCCCTGATCTGCCTATTATATAACTCGCCTTGCCTCGAACCCTGAAATTTAAAAAAAACACCTCTATAAGGTGGGGTCGGGTCAAAATCCATTGGGTTCAGCTATTTTGACCATCCCTAGTAATACATCAGTATCACCGTTAATTTGTAATGGTAGGTGAAATGAAAAAAAAAATATTAGGTATGATTTTGAAAAAAAAATATTGAGTGACCAAAGTGACTTAAATACGTAGTTTACCCTTAGTTCTTTGGATAAATGACATATTTAATACTTAAACTATTACTTTATTCCGTTTTGATATTCAATTTTTTTTTCAAAATTGTACTTAACGTTTAGTTTCGGTTTTATTTTAGTATCATGTCATTAAAAACTTAAGTATAGTGTTGACATTTCACCGTAAGGTATTGTCATGCCATCACTCAAAAGCCTAAAAAAATCATATCAGCAGTTCTGTTAATTTTTTAAAGAAGTATATCAATTTAAAACCTAAACTAAATGTTAGGTATGATTTTGAAAAAAATATAGTTTAGGTATTAAACGTGTAGTTTACCCTAAGGGTGTGTTTGGTTGGGGGAATGTGAGATTCACATTGGAATGGAATCCACATTCTCCCGTTTGTGAGATTCACATGGGAATGAAATCCACATTCTCCCGTTTGATTAGCCGGGAATGTCATTCCCGGTAATCTTACATTACCAATAGTTGATTTTTTGAGGTATATTACCAGTAATTTCATTACCTCCCTTTCCTTAGGTATTGTTGGATTACCGAAATTTTGGATTAAAATGCTCTTAAAAAAAATTTCTTTCAAAAATATATTTATTATGTCATTGAATAATAAAAATTCTACGAAGGTTAAATTACAAATTTATCCTTAAACTATTTTAGATTTACAAAAAAAATTTATAATTAAAATTTTATATGAAGTTCAGGGGTAAAATAAAATTTTACCCTTTCATTAAACTTTTTTATATTTTCAATTTTGTAAAAAAAATTATATAAATTTTATGAATTTAAATTTTTTAAAGAAAATATATAAATATTTTTCAACTTGTTAAAAAAACAAATATATAATAAGGACAATTTGATCAAATATACATTTCAATAATCTTTTATTCCTTTAACCAAACACAGTAATCTTACATCCCTGTTAAACCAACCAAACACAAAATAAAACATTCCCAGTAATCCTATTCCCTGGTAATCTTTTATTCCCACTGGTAATCTTACATTCCGTGAACCAAACGCACTCTAAGTCTTTTGTAGAGCAGAAGACTTGGCTAGCGTGACGCCAACTGATAAAGACATTGACTATTTCACTTTGCCGGCCGCCGATTGTTGAAGCGCCACTCATGTTGTTTGGCTCATTCACCACCCTTTCTTCCATAACATAACAAACCATTTTCGGGCATTTGGCAATCGAATGTGGCCATTATGCCACAGTTCCCTCCTTGTTCTTTTCTGTTTGTCCTAATGAAGCATACCCCTTTTTTCTTCTTATTAAGCAGAACAAGGTCACACTTTTCTTGTTCATCAAGAATGAATCGTGTTTCGATTCGAATATTACCCGTTTTCTTCTTCCTCCTCTTCTATGTCTCGGTTTCGGAAGACGAACAAGTGAAGCGATCACTTGTGGGATTCATGGACAGACTTGCAGCTGGAAATGTACAAAGAGATAAAAGTTGGGGTTGGAACATGACTTCAGATCCCTGCAAAGACAAATGGCTCGGTGTGTCATGTGATTCGCAGTCGAAATCCGTCAAGAAAGTGGTTCTCGAACGGCTAAATCTCACCGGTGTTCTTGATATCGGTTCTGCTTGCAGGGCGAGTTCCCTCTCGGTGCTTAGCCTAAATGAAAACAATGTCGTCGGATCGATATCGGAAGAGATGGGGTATTGCAGACATTTGACACACCTTTATTTAAGTGGTAACCAAATATCTGGTTACCTTCCTGAATCTCTGAAACAGTTGGGTGACTTGAAGAGGTTCGATGTATCCGACAATAACTTGTCCGGCAAGGTACCTGATATCTCTGGAATTTCCGGGCTAATTACTTTCCTTGCTCAGAACAATGAACTTAGTGGGGAGGTACCAAATCTTGACTTCTCCAATCTGCAGCAGTTCAACATCTCCAACAACAACTTCAGTGGTCCGATTCCCGATGTCAAAGGGAGGTTCTCTGCCGACAGTTTTTCAGGTAATCCTGGACTTTGTGGAGAATTAGTCTCAAGGCCATGTCCTCCATCAACACGGAAATCCGGAGATTCATCGGCCAAACACTTCGCTATGTACTCTGGTTATGCGGCTGTTGGCCTTATTGCCATGTTATTCATCGCCTTTAAACTAGTCAGTAAAATGAAGCCGAAGCAAGACACGATAGCAGTGGAAGCAAACACTAGCAGGCTCAGCAACAAGACCAGTAGTACATCCAACGAGTCGAAGATAACCGAGAATAAATCGGAGTATTCAATAAGTTCTGTCGAGAGCGGAGCGGCCTTATCATCCCTCATAGTGCTTACAAGTTCAACGGTCCAAGGTTTAAGATTCGAGGACCTGCTTCGAGCACCGGCCGAACTGCTTGGAAAGGGGAAACACGGAAGCCTTTACAAGGTAATGCTCGATAATGGGGCAACAACGTTGGCAGTGAAGAGGATAAGAGAGTGGAACATTACGAGTGAAGAGTTGAAGAGGAGAATGCAAAGGCTGGACCAGGCAAGGCATCCGAATGTATTGGCACCGGTCGCATTTTATTGTTCCAGGCAAGAGAAGCTCTTGGTTTATGAATATCAACCCAATGGCAGCCTTTTCAGGCTACTCCATGGTAACTTCATTCTCAACAATTTGATTATACCAATTCGAGTTTTAAATTCTCAAAAAATATATTCGATTGTTGATTCAGGATCGGAAAGTGGCCAGGCATTCGAGTGGGAAAGCAGATTGAATGTTGCAGCCATAGTTGCAGAGGCATTGGCATTTATGCATGGGGAGCTTGGTGAAGATGGAATCGCTCATGGTAACCTCAAATCCACAAACATTTTGTTCAATCAAAACATGGATCCCGGCATCAGTGAATATGGCCTAATGGTGTTCCAACACCAATCATTCGATCTTCAATCCGACAACATCAGCAACAATGCCTATGGGAGCTTTAAAGCTGACATCTACGGTTTCGGGGTGATTCTTCTTGAACTTCTCACGAGGAAGCCGGTCCAGGCTAATGGGATCGACTTGGCTCGATGGGTGCACTCGGTGGTTACGGAGGAATGGACTGTCGAAGTCTTTGACAAGGCCTTGATCTCACAGGGTGCAAGTGAAGAGAGGATGTTGAACCTCTTGCAGATAGCTCTCAAGTGCATAAATCTGAACCCATACGAAAGGCCTAACATGAATCAAGTTGCACTAATGATCAATACACTAAAAGATGAGGAAGATAGATCCAGCTCCGATCCATAAACAAGAGAATCAATCGTATCGAGTCGAACAATTCTTTACTTAAAAATCTGTCATGGCATGAAATTGGATTAACATTTATTGATATATTCTACAAAACTTCAAACCTGTAGTTATTTGTACACAAAGTAAATGAAGCCTTCATGTCGGTAAAACTACCTACGACAATGCATCTAACCCGAGAAATACTGAGTCAGCATCCGAAAATACTTACGTCAACTGTGTTTGTCACCTAAAAGTTCACTGTGTTTCCATTTCTGTATTATTAACTCTTGTCAGGCTAAGCCGCCATGAATCTATTCTTTAACCTAAACCATGTCAATTCATGCCACTCTAATCCAAAGCACAACCAAATACATCATGTTTCAAGAACAACTTTCAAAACAAACTTCGGTTCTTGTGCCGCTTGTTGCCGTTATTGAGCTTGAAGCAGCAGCCAAGCTACGAAGTAACGACAATACGTCACTAGTATCATGTAGATAATAGCTAGCTTTGCTTGGTTTCTGACCAACAGTGCAAGCAAATACTTCTGGAGGAACAGGGAGAGATGATATGCAAGCTGCATTTGATATAGTTTCAAACATGTCTTCATCTGATCGATCATCACCGATGCACAAGACAAAATCTGGTGGTTTCCCATTACTTGTCATGGTGGAAAGAATTTTCTCCGTAACAAAGCCTTTGGTAACTCCCTGGCACATCAAATGGCCAATGTTAAGCAGAACCATGAAAGAAGATTAGGGTGAATAACAAAGCACTTAAAATGGATTTATACCTGTGCCTTCACTTCAACAATTTGACGGCCCCTTTTAACAACAACCGGCTCATTGGCAAGGACACTTTCCAGATGATCCAGTAGTTCCTTCGCTTGACAAGATCCAAAATCAGGTGGAGCATCTTGATAGTGCCATACCAAGGCACTCTCCTTGGACTCTATATAGGAGCCATCAGTCGCCTCCGCATACAATTTCATCACTGGTTCAGCAATTCTTTTCCATCCAAAGTCTGCAGCAACTGGAATAGTTTCCCACTTGGATGACCTACTCCACCTACAAGGCAAAAGAACATTAAAAAAAATGTAAGCCTGCACCTTAAAGCGTAATACAAAGAGTTGCATTGTATTTATACAACACAAATCTCTCATAATCCATTCACAACAGAGCCAAAAGTATCAAAGATAGATTTCAAATGTACAACTGAAATGTACCTTATGAAGTATCCATGCTCGGCAGCTATACCTATATTCTCACATTGTACAAACCAGTCACTCAGGGAGTTTTGCCCCCTACCACTAACTATAAAGACGGTGTTCTTGGGGTCACTGCATAGATTGTTCAGAACCAATATAACCTCAGGACTAGGGCTTTTAGTAATTGACGAATGGGGCACCAATGTCCCATCATAATCCAAAAAAATGGCTCTTCTGCATGTCCTTCCATGAGCAGAGACAATGTTTTCTTCGGAAAGCTTTCTAAAAGTTGGAGAAAGGGACAATGTCCTGAAATTCAGTCCAAAACCAAAACCCCAGCAATTTTTGCTGTAATGCTCTTTGCATGCCCTCCCCAAATCTTGTATAAAACTCTGGGCCCAATAACCAACATCATGAGAACTCACAAAGCGATAGTGCTTCTCATGCCGCAGTTGCTTCTCAACGTCAGGCATAGTGATGGCCATGTTTAATGCATCAGCTACATCATCAATGTTCCAAGGATTAACCCTGATTGCCCCACTTAGGGACGGTGAACAACCTATAAACTCTGAGACAACAAGCATGCTCGTACGAGGAGATCCAGCAGCAATTTGCAAAGCTTCATCCATGTTGGAAGTCCCCTGTCTACAAACGGTGTACTTGTATGGAACTAGGTTCATTCCATCCCTCAGTGCATTTACAATACAACAATCTGCAAATGCATAATAAGCAGTTTTCTCACAGGAAGTGACACAGCGATCAATCAGGACCACCGGTTCATATCCTGAAAAACCGAAAGCATTATTTATCCTTTGAGTACTCTCGTATACTTCCCTTTTTGCTTCCTGAACATCTTTCCCAGTGCTTCTTGCAGGATTTACAATTTGAACAAGGACTACATTGCCTTGCAACTCTTGATGCTGTTGTAAGAGCCGTTCCATAGCTAATACTTTTAGGCTAATGCCTTTAAATATATCCATGTCATCAACACCAACGATAAGCTTTTTCCCCTCGAACTTCTGAACAATTTCTTTGACCTTAGTAGAAGAAGATGGGTGATTCAGTGCAGATTGGAGTTGGCCCATGTGAATCCCAACAGGCAAAATTTTTATGTAGACAGTACGACCAAAATATTCAAGTCCAATGTGTCCTCTCTTCGATTCATAGTCAAGGCCAAGCATTCTGCTGCAGCATGAAAGGAAGTGGCGAGCATAATCAAATGTATGAAAACCAATCAAGTCTGCATTAAGCAGTGCTTTTAAAATTTCATCCCTGACTGGCAGTGTCCGGTATATTTCTGAGGATGGGAATGGGCAGTGAAGGAAAAATCCAAGCTTAACTCGATGAAAACGTTTCCTCAAAAATGTCGGGAAAACCATAAGGTGATAATCATGAACCCACACATAATCCTCTTCTGGATTGATTACCTCCACTATCTTCTCTGCAAATATCTTATTGGCAGAAAGATAAGCTTGCCAAAGCAACTTGTCAAAACGATTACCATACTCGGGGCACATAGGTAGCATGTAATGAAAAAGGGACCATAAATAATGCTTACAAAACCCATGGTAAAACCTTTTCTGAAGGTCAGGAGGAAGAAATGTGGGCACACAATTGAATTCCTCTAACAATATCCCAGAAACTTCATCTTGTTCACTCAAATCCACATCAACCTTCAAGGACCCGACATAGACAACTTTAGTATCAGATGAAAAGCCGTCCTTCATTTGTAACAGAAGCGAATCTTCTTCAAAACTGAACGACCATCCACCAGATTTTATATCCCTTTGAGCTTGTAAAGGAAGAAAATTTGCCACGATAATTTTCTTTCCGCGGCATTCAGAAGAGGCAGCATCTCCATCATTCGTTTCCCAACCATCTACGTCAGAGACAATTCCAGGATCAGTCATAACCCGAGGTAATCTTCTAGGAGTTTGTGAGGAATTAAACATGTCCCCGGATACCAAGTCCGACAAGTTTATGCAAGAACTTGATACCATTATCCCCTCAATACTCTTATCTGTCACTGTTGACGACTAATGAACCAAAATCCTTCCTACAAAAGAGATTTTGAGAAGGATGTTGAATTATAAGGAACCAAAGACCTGCAAGAAATTGGAAAAGAACATTCATCACATTGTGCAATATAAGGCCACCTATTAAGAATGAAAATAAGAAAAGAAAAGTAAACAATCAAGAGAAACTATAACTAAAAGAAACAAACAAGAAATCTAAAACATTCCATGAGACAGTAAGCCTACAAGCAGGTTTAATACACTGTCTTGCATCAAAGAGATACAGAGTAAATTTGACTTCAGAATACCTTGAAACAGCATCATTTCATGTCACTAGAGCATTTTTCATGCCTAAATCTTTACCTAAGATCAAACTAGTAGAAAATGAAAGCAAAATAAGGGACAAAAACAATAGATTCTCAGAAAATGGGGATTACCTCATGCATAGTAACCCTAAAATATGTATTTTGTTTTTCCTTTTTTGTATGATTAGCAGCCTTAACCTTAATGGTTTTTAACCCATTAAATCTTTAAATATTATCTTACATTCCTATGTAAAATAAGTAGTTTCCACATTTACGAAACATTGCATTATCAGTAATTGTAAGTTAACTATAAAGATTAAAATCCATTCTTTAATTTCGAAAAGTATATTTTTAACGATCATCGAAAAACTACATTGTACATATGTCAAACTACTTCAAAAGAAGAATACAAAAGTCTCACCAAGTGGTCTGAGTCTATTAAGTATCAAATAAGCACACTGCACATATGTAAATCTATTAACCATAGGAGACTATTATGAAGTGACTTTGAAAATATCTAATGGCTAAGCATCACTCAAACAGAATGCAAATATCCCCCAAAGTTTGGCCACTAGTTCCAACTTAGAAAACCAATTTTAGTTTGGATCAATAAAACGGGACATCTAACTCATACAAGAAGAAATACATACTTTCATGTTATGATCTACTCATGAAAGAAGAGGAAAAGTATACCTGAAAAGAGAAGTACAAAACAGAAATGGAAAATATCGAATACAAGAGGGAAAATGCACACTAAAAAAACGCCATACCTAATTTTGTTCGCCGCGAGCTCTCAACAAAACCTACCTATTGGTGTACACCCTACATGGCCTTTTATATGCGAGTAGCACTCTACTTGTTTTCTTCAAATTAATTGTCCAGATAGACTCTATTCAGGGAATTCAATGTGAAAAGTATTCTTTTAACCCATTGGGGAATCAAATTAATTTCCTTCTAGTCATGTACTAAAAACGCGTTCGTTTAACTTGTTTTATTCGAGCAGGCTCATTAAATCACTTAACCGTTTTCCGAGTATGGCCAGGACAATTAAATGATAAATCAACAAATTTGCGAAAAATTACCAAATCATTCACAGTCCTTATCTAATATAATGATATCTTCTGCAATGAAACCGAAACCTTCTTAAATAGAACCACGAGAATGAAAAATGAAAGAAAACAGATTATATATATATTCCTTCTAATATAAGTTTCATGGCATTGCGAGGCAAACATGATCTCCTCATTTATCAGTTTATCTGTCAAATTATTGTAGACAAAAGGAAGATGTCTAAATAAAATGGCAAATGTCATTTCCATGAGGTCACATTATCTTTAATGATTATGACTCACTAATTTGCAAATCAAAGGGCATGAAATGATAGCATAAATGTAGTTCTCCTTGGCCTTTTCAGGTTAGATTTTTATTTCATTTCTAAAATTCTCCAGGAGTACCTCGTATCATTTTACCTTGTTCCCCAAGGAATTAACTACAACGAAAACTAATCCCGATTTACATAATATTTCACTTATTAGTAAACTTTTCTTTATTGTTTTTCTTGAATTGTATTGAAAACTAGTCCGAATCTAAAAGACAAACAACTGCCTATAAGGAAATTCTTTCTAGTCCTCATCAAAGTTTCATTAAATCAAGAACCAAAGAAGATTGCGATGTAATTGATTATAAATAACTCGAACTTATTCGAAGGAAACAAGCAGAAACAGAAGGATGAAAATTGCCTAACATCCAGCAGCTAAGCTCCTAACTCATAGGAAACGTGTTCATCAGTGCAGATAATGGCTCCACTACAATAGAAACAAAAGAACACTCAAATACACAAGAAAGTTCAAAACTTACTCTCCTAATCATCAAGATTACTAGAATCCCAATGTATATTTACACATGCAGATAAAAAGATAACTAATAAAGCACATATTCTATTCAAAACACACATGAACAGAATGTTACCTTTTGCAGAATGTCCAGCCCTGAGTAACAGTAATTTTATCAAACTCTTCAAGGGCAATGTAGAGCAATTTCCCTGCAAGAAAGATGATTACTTTTTTCTATCAGGAAAAACAAAAGTTAATCTTCTAAACATGATTGCTGTAAAACTAAAAGAAAATCTCATAACCCCATTTTCTCATTGCTTCCCTTATAACTTTCCAAGCATCCAAACACAACACCAATAAGAAAAGAACCCTTTACAAGACCAACGTGTATGGATTGGATTAGATAAAACTTACATAATAAAAGAAGTTGATAAAACAGGAAAGATAGAGGAAAAAAGAAAGAAAAGGAGGCGTTAGGTTCAAAACTGGTGAGATTTTGAAAGAGTTTTGAAGGGTTGGAAACCGACTAAAACCCCAAGAAGAAGAAGGGTTAGTCCCATTCAACAATGGAAGGTGCAAAATAATGAGATTATATAATACAAGTCAGCAGAAAAAGCAAAGAGAAAAAGAAGAAAAAAAAGATTTAGAGAGAGAGAGAGAGAGAGAGACAGCAGTCAGCACACCAATTTCCAGTCCAAAGCATATACAGTTAGATTACAAGTATGGTTTTGTCTTACGTTATAGTCCTTCCATTTTCTCTTCCTTCTTATACCCCTTTTCTTCTTCTTTTACGTTCCTGACATTTTCCTCTTATCTACTATTCTGCCCTTTTATTATTACTTAGGGTAAACTATAACTTTAGTATCTCAACTACAACTTTTTCTCTGTTTTGGTCATTAAACTATTTTTTATTTCAAAATTATACTTAACGTTACGTTTTGATTTTATTATGGACATCTACTGTTAAAAAATTAACAAAACTACTGATGTGGGATTTTTTTCAATGATAAGGTGATATTATCTTATGGTGACATGTTAGTATCACAGTTATTTTTTAACGGTGGGTAACTAAAATATAATATTAGATATGATTTTGAAATAAAAAATAGTTGGATGAACAAAATAAACAAAAGTGATAGTTTGAGCACTAAACCTCTAGTTTACCCTTATTATTACTTAAAGTAGGCCTGACAATGCGCCATGAAATGTGTATGACATAACGTATCATATAAATACGAATGGATCAAATTTTATACTCCACGTTGCTAATTTATCAAAAGTTATATTTGACTAGGATCTTATCTAAATTTTAAATAATACATTTTAAACTAATCATCAAAAGTAATAATTATAACGGTTATTAAATATTGTTAATTATAATCTAATCATTAAAAAAAGGGTTAATTGTTAACAGTTAATCGTTATTAACTGTTATGTTATAAGATAACACAACTTAAAATTTTCAAAATTTCATAAAATTTATGATGATAAAAAAAATATATATTTGTCAAAGTCTTATTTATTTGTAAATGCATTTTATTTTATAGAAATATGTATTATAAGGTATATTCATTTTTTATAGTTTAAAATTTTACGTGTATATTCATGGTCGGCTAATCGTACTGTTTAACACAAACGATCGGTTAACCGTTATAACGATTATTAAATTTTATTAACAATAGCATAACCCCTTCTAAAATTATAAATTCATACAATTAAAAAAGGATAAATTATTTATTTAGTTATTCATTTATTATTTTATTTCTATTTTGGTTATCTTATTATTATTATTTATAAAATCATACTTAATGTTGTATTTTGTTTCATTTTTTGGTTATCCGCCATTAAAAAGTTAACAGCAATGCTAATGTGGTATTTTTAAATTATTTTTACTTTACACTTAATTATTTATTTATTATTTTTTACAAGATGGGGTATGTTAAATCTAACATGGTCCCTCTTTAAATTTTTTAATGTTTTCTATTTATAATTTGACGTACTTATTATATAGTTTATTAAACTAATAAAGAACAATTTACAAACAAATTTATTTAGTTTTGCTTTGTAACATCTCAATCCAGTCCGACTCGAAGATCCATGGATTACGATGTCACACGGAACCACCGAAATAGTCAACCCAAAAATTTCTTTTTCAAAATAGTTTATGATTATCAAAATCATTCATCATAATCGGAATAAAATTTACAAAATCCGAGAGTCTCCCAAAATACGTACAATATAACCATAAAGTTTAAAATAAACAATAGAGTTATGATTCAGATACACAGGGTCCATATAGAATACATGCCCTCTATAAATACTTAAGACATACTCTGCAAAACGACTGGTCTGGAACGGTCGATTGTAATAGGTTCCCTCAACGATCCTCTACTAACTTGTGCATGGAAACACATTCCATACACAGACCCCATAGCTCACTGCCATGAAAATAACTATGCAATACTACATAATTTCCTTACATGAACATGTCGGAATGCAAAGTCAAACATGCATAAGTATATATCAAACATGAGATAGGCCAAGTGGTGTGATCAAAGGAATTTACGTGCACCTCGGATAACACATTAGCCTATCTGAAATGTGATAGCTTTGGGGTAAGAACCAAAATTTACGTGCGTCGAAACTTATAGCCCTTAGTATACTCGGGTCCTCGAGAGGTCGGGGTGAGGTTCAAAATTTACATGCATCGAAAACTCATATCTGGTACCTAGTTGTTTTACACCTATTCAATCCCATTTATGGTCATACTATGGGTCCAGGGCCTCTCGAGCAACGTTTTGACCAAAACGGACTGAAAGTATCGATACTAGCCCAAGAGTATCGATACTCCTGAAAAAGTTTCGATACTTTATGTAAGTACCGATACTTTTATATATTTTGTTCTGCCCAGTTTTGAAACTTTCTGGGAGTTTCGAAACTATGACCCAAAGTTCCGATACTCTTGAAAGAGAATCGATA